AAATCTAAATCAGGTAGTCTTTCATTTCCAAAGGATTTTGATCGACGTGTACCAATTGAAACTGGAACAAGTGACAAACTAAACTATTATGGATGTTGTCTGGCTAATGAGAGTCAAGTGAAAGTATCACTGTTACACCGTCATGCCATTCAAGATTTTACCTATAATGAAAATTATTATTCTGACTATGTTAAGGGAAGAGCAGGCGTGGAAAAGCATGAATTTGCCCATCTAGATTGTCCGTTTCAAGAAGATAGCGGCTTTTTTATATTGGGAAAGTTTTCTGAGGATAAGGACAATGAACTACATTTAACAGCATTTAAAATTCCGGTAAAACATACGCTTTATGTGCCACCGTTAACAATCCATTCAAATGATTATCTGAAAGGTAAATGGCGTACAATGTTATCGGATGCCACTCAGATTGATCATGTTCTTCTCGAACAAGCAAGATATGATGGACAAACAGAGCAATTTCAATTCGATTTTAGGAACTAACACTTGATCGAATGAAATCAATTGAATTAAGTTTGGTCGATTAATTCTGTCAGTTCTTTATTTTTTTGTATTTATATTTATTGAAATATATTTAGTCAGGAAAACAATGATGCGTTCTTTTTTTTTTCTAGAGTCGAATTTTTTCGTCCTCACATAACAAGAGTCGTAGAATTTGAAGTTTTTGAGAAAGTATATTGATTTTTCTGTTTCTGTTTCGTTAATTTGAAGTTTTTTCATATATTGATTTTATCATTAATGAATTATTTAACTAATCTGCTATTTTTCTGTTTAATTTTAGTAAAAAATTAGAAGTTCTTTCTCTGCAAACAAGAAAGAATTCTTACCCCTATTTACGGTATATAAATACATTAGAAAATGTTGTTTGGTGGTAGCAACCGAACACCGAATGACCATAGTGTCAATAATCCAATATCGAAAGCGGATGATATTGTATGCATTTATGCACCCTGGCTGATAAAAAAAAGCATTGCCATTATTAGATGAGATTCGCGGAGAAAAAAGACACCTGTTGATTTCACTATTGACGGATAAGCGTCGTTGTAGTGGTAAATGGGACTGTGTTAGTGTCGTTGCACTGTACCGTTAGGGCCCAAACATTGTCTGCACTAGCGTCTGATAATCAAAACAAGTCAATTTTCATCAAAATTATCGATTTTTGGATACAGATTTAGATAGCCCCCAGTTCTACTTTCAGAATCTGTATCATTTTCTGCTCCAGAAGTAACTTTTCACGGTTTTACAAGTTTTTCCGTAAAATCGCAAGAATAAAATATTCGAAAATTAGTGTTTTTCACGATACTAATGTAATTTATTTTTCCTGAAGGTGTAAAATTCTAGAGCAAAGTTTTGTCGTCAAAATAAGACGCTGTACAACTCTGTATGATTTTTATTTAGAAATTATAAGCCTCAAAATGCACTAACAAAACAATGGTGTTTTTCTTAAAAATTTTTTAAATTTTAAGTGTTCTGACGACAAAGATTCCTTCGCCATGGTAGGTGCTATAAGCTCGAGAATAAGCTCGAGATGGTCTCAAAATACAGTCAGAACTTGGCGCTACAACATAGCCGAGCCAAATTTTTTATTTTCAATCTAATTTTTGAGAAAAATGAAGTTTTCCGAAAAGTTAGTCAAAACTTTTTTCAATTTTTTACGTAGAAAACCTTTGGAAAAGCTGAATAAAAATAGTTTCATGAAGTTGGACATGATAAGTTGTAGCACCAAGTTTTGACTATATTCTGAGACCATCTCGAGCTTGTTAGCACTTAACATGGCTGAAAAATCTTTGTTGCACGAACATTTATTTTTTGATCCTAATTTGTATAACTCTGGGAAAACTCAATATCTCGAGCTCAAATTTTTATATTTCCATTTGTACAACAATAATATATAATAATACTTACGATCTTGAGTTGTTTTGGAAACTATACATGCTTTGTCTTTTTTTTTTGTATACTCATCATCGTTCAGATTGGTACTTTAGCTCACGTATATGAGCTTAACGAGTTGCAACCGATTATTGATACCTACTTCTACAGATTCTTTTGATAGTCAGTGCTTGTCAGCATCAACATTAACACCACCTTCTATTTCATTATATGTTTTTATCAAAAAATAGCAACAAAAGACCAACAAAAAAGATAATATGTACAAAAATAGTAGAATAAACATTTCATTTGATCACAGGTAGGTCGATAAAATATCTGACTGTCGTATTAAAAAAAAATTATCTTTAATTAACCATTCTCTCCCTATAGGAGACCTAAATTTGTTGCTTTTTCCAAAATGTTGTCGATCATTGATTTTGCATCGGTAACCGATAAATCAGTATGAGTTTTTAATGCTTCAATATCTTTCCAGACACTTTCAACAGATTCCTAGAAGTCAGGCAAAGATATGTGTAGGAATTTCAGCCATTTTAGTGAAATATGCTCACCGATGAAGCAAACGTGTGAATATTTTCTTTATTATCATGCGCTTTTATTTTTTTTGATGAAGACGTAGTTGTAAACTCTTCCAATTCGGTTGCACGCTTTTGAGCAAACTAAATAAACAAAAAATAAAAAAGACAATGCCGAAACCAAATCAGGACTGGCAGAAATTATTAGTTAATGGAAATTAAGAGCTTACAGCTCTTAGCAGAATCAATAGCCTTCTAAAGTAGTGTCAGAAAGCAAGCTCGTGTTTGTATGACGAAGAGTGCTAGAAAGTTCATTGAACATACTTGAATAACATGTTTTGGAAATTGCGCTAATTGTGCCACATGTATACCAAAACTTTGATCACATACGCCTTGTTTTATTTTATATAACAACGTTAATTGTTGTTCGTCAGCTAATGCATCAACATGTAAATTTTCAATTATCTCTGGCATTTCTTGTTCGATTAATGTCAATTCATGAAAATGTGTAGCAAATAAACAGTAACATTGAATTTGCTTACAGATGTAATCAGCAACGGCCCAAGCAAGACCAAATCCATCATACGTCGATGTTCCACGACCTAATTCATCGATAATTAATAACGACTTTTGTGTAGCTATATCTAATATTGTTGACATCTCTAGCATTTCAGACATGAATGTAGAAACACCACGAGACAAATCATCCTAAAGTAATTAATCATAGCAGAAAGTAGTATGGATGAGAAAACACTGATTTACAAATAACCTACATTTGAACCGATACGAGCGAGAATACAATCAACAATTGAAATTTCAGCTGAACTACAAGGAACATAACAACCAATTTGAGCCATTAACATGATTACACCAACCTACGCAAGAAACAGGCATCAGTTTTTACCTTTCAAAGAAAAAAATTTGATAGCTAGATAGATTAAAATATATTTCACCTTCTCCATAATTTTATTCCTAGCAAGAGAGTATCTTATCCGTCTACTAATTTTCCAATCGTTGGAAAAAAAACGGGACTTACTTGACGGATATACGTCGATTTCCTAAAATAAACAAAAATTATGCTCAAAAAGACATAGCTAAATGATTCGGTCCTGAGTTAAAGATTCTCATAAGAAATTGTTTCGAAAAAAAAGTACTATGTCACTGTTTCGTAGTTAAAGTTGATTAGAAGAATGCAAACTGACTAGTGTGTTGCTACAAAGGTTATTTCTACAAAAAAAGGTATACCTTACCCTCCCATATTCGGCCCTAAAACGAGAATAAAATCATTAGTTAAATATATGAAGTTTTTCAAACAGAACTCTTATACATACCAGTAATAATTAGAAAACGTTGTTTTTCTCTATCTAATGTGACATTATTGGATATAAATTGCATATTTTCTTGTAATTCTACACAGGGATGTCTTGAGTCTTCTAAATGAATTTTATTTTCTTCACTGAATTTTGGTCGAACATATTGATATTGAGCCGATACTTGTGCTAATGATATGAAGCAATCTAGTTCTGATAATATTTCCAACAATGATCGCAATGAATCCATATAAGTCAAACATATTTGAAGAACTTCATCAACCAAAGCTTTTTGAGTTTCATCATATTGAATACGAGACGTCATATAATGTTCATTCAAATCTTCTACAATATGACACGAAAATTCCAAATTCAGAAAATGTGAAAGTCCTTACTATATGTTATAGGATTAATCTGTGTGTTATAAGAAAATATTACCTAATCGTTTACTTCTAAAATAGACTCCTTCTTTTTTTGTTGCTAATGTTTGATATTTGTATTTCAATGTTTTTTGTCTTAAGCACGATTCATCTTTTCGTGCAATTCGATAATAATAACCATTATGTTTGGAATCATACTCTAATTTAACTACGCCACCACTTGAATCAGCAATCGTATCGTCATCATCATCAGCGTTGTTTGTCTTTTTTTTTGTACTTCTCCGTGGTTTCTTTTTAGCACTGCTACCAGATTCACCTCCAGCTTCTTCCAAATCTTCACAAATTGAATAATAATCCGACTGAATATCAGATTCATAGCGAGACATTTTTTCACGATGAGCTATAAATGAAAGAAGAAAAATTAGTGGAAAACCTTTTTACACCTTAGTTTTTCTTTGACTGAGAGCTGATCATTCAAAGTGAAGAAAATTCTAGACTATAGAGATGTGTAGCACTAGGATACAGACTTACCTAGACCTGTACGCCTCACCGCTGCCGCCGAAGGTGTCAAATTTCTTTGTAATACTTCGGCGCCGCCGTCAGTGGATGAGTTAGATTTTTGCGCCGCCACCGAAGGCGTTCAAGTTTTGTGGAGGTCCTCTTTTAGTCGCCGACGACGACGGCGGAAAATCTTTTAATGAGATTCCATCGCCGCCGCTGATCGAAAAACTTCTATTACACGCCGCACAGATCTAGACTTACGGGCTCTTAATATGCAAAGAGAATTTTAGCTAGGCACGTGGACATGTTCTAGAAAAGTGGTACGAAAGTCTCTCAATACTCTTTTTATAGGTTTTCGTATGTGGTCTATACAATGATATAGTTTTCGAACTTTCAAAGTATGTTTGTACAGGTTTTCCGGAGATCCGATTTCTGGAAAACCAGTACGAACATACTTTGGAAGTTTTAAAACCATTCCTATGGAAAGAGCGTATATGAAAACCTATAAAAGTGTTTAGAGACTTTCGTACCACTTTTCTAACACTAAAGATGGGCGAGCATGTCCACCAAAGATGGGTGAGCACGAGTAAACACTCGTACTGTGTATATTCGAGTACAAATTTGGACTTTCGCTAAAGCTCGCGCACTCCTTATACTGAGCACTCCTTTTGAGAAAACACTTAGCGTAGAAGGAAATATTGTTTTTCTTAGGATTAAAAGGTTCGAATCGATAGGCCGCAACGTCTAGTTTAACGTTATGTAGAAACTTTTCAGAAATGGTTTTCAGATTTCATCTTGTTATCTCTTAGTAATCAGGTTTTTCAGCTAAATTTTCACAATGCATTTTCCGACTAACTATGGTCCTTGGAACAAAAAATTTTATGACAATAGACAGCTCGTATTTCAAAGTATATTTGACACTATTTGAATCTTGAAAAAGTGCACTTTCATTTTTTCACCTAATGTCCAAGTGGTTGCCCACTATGACCTCAACACACACCTAATCATGACTTATGTTTTAAAATACAGACAGGAGATTTTGAAACTTATTTATGCTAATCAGATAGTTTAATGAGTTTTTTAGAAACATATATATATATAAACTTCTCTTCAATGAGAGCACTCGATTGATGTTCTCAAGTTACCTTTCAAATCTTCATCGAAATCAGGTTTTATTATATATTCATGCTTTTGAACACGATCTAAATCAATTGTTTTTTCAATCATTTCACAATACTTTTCAAAATCAGACACTAATTCCTAGAAAAAAAATAAATAAAACACATACTATAGAGATATACTAAAGTGACACTTGAAAACATTTTCGAGGCATATATATTTTTTATTGTCTCTCATCATCATCCTCTACGAAATAAAAGGTTTTTAAAATTGAAAAAACTCGACATCTGAAAGATTTTCGAGTATTTCTACCACCTACTTTTAATGGTTGAATAAAAACATGTTCAAGAATTGCTTTTTTATTTCCATCATAATGCTCTAAACATTCGATTAATTTTGGTATATGACTTATTGCTGAATAGATTTTATAACAGTCCTAAAACAAAAATAATTTACACAAAGAAAAATAGAATATCGAGATCAAATAGTCCACTTACATGTAAACTCGCTTTTTTCTTAATAAATTTTCTTAATAATCGTAGAAAATCAGGTACACGAGATAGAAAATTCTCAGAAACATATGTACGAGTAGTTACATCCGATATAAATAATTCCACAATATCTAAACGTTCATCTAAAGTCACAGAAAAAGAGTTAGTTATGTATAAGTGAGTGTGTTTCTCATATATATACTTAGTTTTCCTTGATCTGTTAAAGGCTGCATAAGCCATAAACGAAGTAAACGTTGTCCTTGAGCCGTGCGACAACGATTTAATAAGCTATATAAACTTGAACATTTTGAATTTGAACCTACACAAAAATAGTGTTACATATGAATATATTCTTCATGCTTCATTAGATATTCTTGATGTATTAACCATTCTAACTAAACTCACATTAATAATTTACATCGTCAGTAAAACACATTCATTAGATAATAGAAACAATTTCTATTTAAAAACAACTTACTACTAACAAATCGATTACTTTTCCAAAGTACCCAAATACCCAACACATCAACTTACTATAATCTTGTTGTGCATCTGGAAATACGTGTAATGCAATCGTAGCCGCCGTATCTAATCTCATATAAAGTTCACATTGATGTGTTTTTAATGAAAAGCGATTAAACTGACTATCGTCTGATAACAACTAAAACAAAAAAATAAAAGTTAAATGGAGTCGTACAACCAATAAGTGAATAAACTCTTTATAAATTTGGCGGGGCAAAAACGATCGTGAACTGTTCTTTTACGTTTCTAACATTAACAAACATTTTGCAAAAAAAGCCCTTTTTACTTTTGCAAGTACATACTTGAAGAAATTTGATAGCCGCTGTTAATGAACACATTGCATGTACTTTTTGTACTTCAGCTAGAAAAAGAGTAGGAAAGTACATAAAAATAAGGGCAGAGCGGTAGTATGTTTGCACTTACTTAAGGCGGCAATGTTTCTCCTCTCATCTTGATCTGCATTTCGTTTCGTCAATAAACGTGTAAGATCTTGTACAATATCTTTAGACGTAAATTCATCTGTAAAAAAAGAGAAAATAAATGAGTCTTTCAAATGACTATTTACAAGAATAACGTTACTTTTTGGTCTTTCTGTAACTAATACTTGAGATTTTTCAATGATCTTCTTCAATTGTAGATAATTTTCATCTGTTGCACCGATAGATGGAAGTAAACATTCTTTTGGACCCAATTGAACTAATATACTCTAAAATTCAGCAAAACAATGTAGTTTATAAACAATAGAACAAATGAAATTGCAAATTCTCAGTTATGGTATTTTGTGCGTACTTCCAGATTTGAATAATGACTGGTAACATTCACTTCGCAAACTTTCATCGTATAAGTTTCAACATCAATTAATGCTATACCAACTATCTTTAAAAAGAAAGACAGCATTCATTTTATAAGACAGAAATATGTTCTATGACTATGGCCTACCGTTTGTCCATCTTCTGTAGCTAATTTGCATGCCATAACTCCTGTTGATGCTTGACCCTGGCTTGATGATGATGAAAATAAGATATCTTCAAATGCCGACAGATTACCAGGCGAACCCTAAAAGAGAATGAAATTTCACATACATATCATTCTTTATTGTCTTTTCCTACATGAAAAGCCAATGTCCATTCAGTAGATCGTTGTTTTCTATTCCATATTTCTACTCGATATTGTTTAACTAATAATAACTTTCTTAACATCTCTTCAAATTGATTTTTACTTAAATTACATGTTTCCAATAGACCACCACTATCTAATAGAAGAAAAAGAATAGTATCATGTCTGTAATTAAATATGCCTCAGATGCCTAATAACAAATGGAGTAACACTTCTTTCACTACAACTAATACTGTCACAGTATTGAATCGAATTTCTATTCTTATATAGTTGTTTCCTCTAACCTGATTTCCAATATTTAATCGCATTTGATGTTTGAAATAACTCTTTCGAAGCATAAATAGCATCTTCTCCATGAAACGTATAATAATCACCACGTTCAAATAGTCGAATTGTCACTGGAGCTTTCTCTGGCAATGTTCTATAAATATCGATAAAATCACGATCAACAGTTTGTTCATTCGAGCCTGAATTGTCATCCTCAGCGTCTTTCAATGTTTCTTCAACAGACATCTATAATTAGAAATAGAAATGTCAGTTTAAATAAATTTTGCTGTTGAAGAGCCAAAGCTGTACGTCGGAATACAATAATCGGGATAATCAGAAGATCGCATTATCCTCTTTGAAATATAAAGAAATTTATCTTTTGTCAACAACTGTGACATTTAAATATAAAAATTATATGTTTTTCAGCATCCCGGTAGCATGTACATGTCGGCTTATTTCTTTAAATAAAAATAAGACTTTTTGAGCTGTTAATTTATTTATTCATTGTTGTTGTGCGTGTGTTTATTTCATTTCTTTTAACAGATTAAAACAGAGAAGATTACAAAAAAATATGTTGTTTGTTTTTCTTTGCTTGCTTGTTTGTTTCATAAACTCGGGACAATCAAAAACAATTTGTAAACAAAAACAACATCTATGGTTTTTCTTTATTAATTTTTATTACTGCCCTTTTCCAGCTAATCGTCTGTCTCTTTCTTCTGCTACGGTTAAACGTACACCTTTTCCTTTTGGTAATGATACCCATGGTTTTTGGCCTTTACCAATAACAAATACATAAGCTAATCTAAAACAGAGATAAGTACAAAAATGAAACGAGTTATTTAATAAATTAATTCTACATAAGATAGATAACATAATCTCGTACTTCTGCAGCACGCGTGAAAAGCTACAATACGTGCATAACTGTCTGATGTATGGAAAAATATAAAAAGAGGTTGAATGCACTGTAATAGTAAACTTCTTTCTAATAGTTGAATATTCCTTACCGAGTGGCAAATGTGTGTCCGCTCGCATCCTTAACATGAACAATATCAAATGACCCCGGATGACGTTCACGAGATTGAATTATACCAACACGACCCAAATTGTGACCACCTTGAACAAGAACACACACAATATTATGATGTTTTGAATGCTACTACAAATATGACTAACCTGTTATCATCACAACATTTCCTACAAAGAATGAAAATAGTCAGTACTTGTTGAGAACAGAACCGAACAATAATAAAAGAAGCAGGTGCACCAGTAAGAAGATTGACAGTTACTCAAAAACCTTTTTGTTCTCACCTCTATTATAAAACATTAGCTACTAAACCTATGTTTCAAGAAAGACTAATGAATTGGCAAAACATACGGAATATTTTGCTAATTATTTGAGTATGTCAAACTTACCAGTATCAAATTTGATTGATTCTTGAATTTTTCCTGTAGCAATATCAACTTGTACCGTATCATTTGATTTTATATGTGGATCTGGATATCGGATTGTTCTTGCGTCATGTGTTATTAAAAAAGGAACTTTTTTTGGACCCATACGAACAGATTTTACCTTGCATAGTTTATACTGAAACGGAAGAAATATAAACGTATGTATACAAACACTCAAATATATGAATACTTCGCTACTCACTTTGGCTTCCTCTGGTTGAATACGATGAACACAAAAGCGTCCTTTAACATCGTAGATCAAACGAAAATGTTCGCCAGTTTTTTCAATTGTAATCACATCTAAAACGGTAAGCAAAAACTCCTATACTCAAATTGTGAGCTCTGACTTTTCTTTAAAAAGCTTGTGTAAGCCATCTGTGTAACACACTGAAACATACAGTGCATCATATTGTATTCGTCTACGAAAACTATACTTAGTCATAATGTTAAAGTTCTGGAAAAATCTTCGCCACAAATCATTCAATTTAGGATATCTATGAGACATCTGTGTTTAAAAGAATTACCGCTTACCCATAAATCCAGCTGGAAATAAAAAGTCTGTCCTGACTTTTCCATCAATTTTAATAAGACGTTGTTTGCATATTTTTCTTGCTTCATCGTATGTCAATGCATATTTCAAACGATTTCTTAAGAATATAATTACTGGTAAACACTCCCGAGTTTTATGCGGACCAGACGAGGGTTTTGGAGCAAAAACACCTCCCAGTTTATCCAACATCCAATGTTTAGGTGCATGAAGACGTTTCAAATGTTTACGAATACCACGGTACTAGAAAAAGAACGAAAGTAAACGTTACGAATGTGAATGAATTCTAAAAAGTAAACCAACTTTCCAAAACAAGAACCACTGGGAATTTCAACTAAACTCAAGAAACTGCCTTTACGACAATCGTAAAGAAAAGTGGTAATTCTTCAGAACATAATTGTACTCCACAAAGATCTGAATTTGTTGGCAGACGAAGAATGGTATGGGAAATAAAATTAGAAATCAGATGAGCTTTTTGCAGTATCAAAACAGCTAATACACTTTTATGATATATTAAAGGGATTATCAATGCTATTTTCTTCTGCAACAGTGGTTCCAAACAGAATTGAGTTGAAATTTTTGAAACCACCTTCAACTTACTCCCATTTTTGATTTATTTTAAAGATACGTGCGTCTTTCTTCAATAAAATTTTTCTAAGCAAATGCAGCAAAACTGGATCCAAGAGGTTATTAACAGACATTTATTAGATCCACCAATCACATAAGATTAATACAGTGAAAGTAGTAAATAAGGTTTGTTAATACATTTAAATAGAAAATTAATCAATGAAACTGAAAGTGGTTGACCGAAAACTAGAATTAAGGCAGCTATAAGTATTTTTTTGAATCTTGAGTGCTCTAGTGTTTCAAAATTTTTTGATTATTCGATTGAAGGCTGAATGACACGACTAATGGTCAATTTTTCGTTCCTGTCACTTCCGTCTTTGATGGAAAAATACTATAAGCGTTCAAGGATTTCAGCTGTTCGAAAAATATATCTATACACTAAAGCTCCTTGACCGTAAATGAGCTGTTCAAATACTTGTTTCGTATTACACAATTTTTCTTTCACCGCTTCCTTTCTAGATCAAACGTTGCTTACGCGAAAATCACTTGTTATTTATTTTTTTCTCTTTGCATTTAAAGAAGATGGGTAAGTTAGCAAATAAGACTGAATATTTTTAAAAATATTTTTGTTTTCTTGGCTTCTAGTAGAACTAGACATTAGCTACAACGGGGATGTGGGCGATGTCGATGCTGATCATGATATATTTTCCTCCATAGCAAGTGTGTAATATCCATTGTTCTTTGCTTTACATAATACTTTTTTTCTTAATTTTCATTTAAGAACCCGGAAATACCGAAAATGAAGATGAACAAGTAAGCTGACTTGCAATTAGAGAAATATCCGTTGATAGGTATTTCTGAATCAACTCCAACATGTAAAACTGCATCGATAGAAAGATGTTGGAAAGCATTTTCATTGATAGACGAGGGAATCATAAAAAGTCTTAAATATCGTAACGCTAATTCGATATTGTAGTGTTGAGCAGTCCAGTCTTAGAGTAAGAGGATATTAGGATAGTTATTCGCTTAAGACCACATCGAAATTGGTTTAGGTTAAAAATTTATGGACCGACGTAACTTTTCGTTAAAATTTATAGCAATATCTCACGAACCGAGAGTATAAGATCAATGAAATTTTCCAAAAATATATGCAAAAGAGTGTGCTACTATTGTTATTCGTTTTTTTTAATCGAAATTGTGCAAGTATTGTCGATAAGTTCTTGAAATAGATTAGAGCTATGGATAATAGATGGAAATGGAGCCAAAGTCATTAATTTTTCAGCAATGAGAAGAAATCAGTGTTTTTCTTCAAAGACAAGCTTTCTTCCTCTTGTCAATATATTTATCTATGCTGCATCTTGCATTCCTCTACGCTTATGTCTTCCTGCTTCGGATTACCTATCCAATAGCATACTGACTACGTCATGACGTACATTATAGCTCTTCTAGTTATTTTTCGTGGCTTTTTGAAAAGCTAATACGTGATTAGTGAATATGAATGCGAGACTCAAAAGAGTTATTTTGGCCAGAGTTATATTTGATGACAGTAACGATATTGAAGATCTTGTCAGTTTGTCAACTATAAAGAAAATATCGACCTGTTCTCATTCTGTACGAGGACTTTTGACTAAGTAGTTATTCCTCTTTTATGAACAGAACTCTGGTCTTCGAGAAGCTGAAAATGGTGATGAAATATGGAAAGTCAAAAGACTCCTAAAATTAGTTCAACGCAGTAACTAATTTTAGTAGAAAAATATCAGAAGTGTTGGCAGCTCTGTATAACTTACATGAGAAGGTTTAAATTTACCTTTTCATTCAGTCATCTTTGTCTCGAGCTCATAAGATTAATGAGACTTTCAGCTTTTTATCTAGTAATGTCATGAGATGAGAATATTTCTGTATGGTTTCTTTGTTGAATTTCAGCAGTGTCTTCTTACGCGATGCAACTCAGTTTTGTTTCTTTGGTGTGGTCTTTTCACAATTCATTTTTATTGTTTATATTTAGATGGATGAAGAAGCATTGTTATCATCACAGAATGATCTTGATGAAGACGATGCAAAAATTATTGGAGATGATTTAGAAATGGAAAATGATTTAATTGGTGTGGAAGACGATGATGAAGATGATCAAGATGATGATGAAAATAACCACAGTAACAATAGTGACAGCGGAAAATTGATTAATGACGAGTTTAATCATACAACATCATTACAACATAGTGCTGATGGTAAGATTTTTATTCGTCCTTCGATAAATCACGTGATAATTGATTGTATCAACTTCATTTTATTTTTTCTTTCTTAGAATTGATTGATGTTTCTCAAGATGGTGATATTTCTGTAAATAATGCAAATAACACTACTAATTCATCATTAACTACTATGGAAAATGTACATGAAACAAATGATCAAATACAAGATGTTGATGTAGAAATTGGAGAGCAGCAGAATGGAGAAGAGGAAACAGTTGAGATGGAAGAAAAAACAACTTTAGTACAAACAACAACTTCAAACACACAACAACAAACTGTTGAACAAATAACAACAGCATCTACAAAACCAGTGCCCATACTACCTCCAGCACCACAGAAATCAGGTAATCAGTTAACAATTTGATAGGTTATTGAATATTTTGAGGATAAAATATAAGGACAATTGAGAACAAAATATAAATTGCTTTCATTATTCTATTCTTGTGTATAATTAAGGAATAAGCAGTAATCAATTGTATGTTCATAAACTCGTTTGTGAAAATTTATTCAGAACGAAAAGTGTTTGAATTTTTGAGAAGTTTTAATACTCATTGTCGTCGTATTCGATTACTACTCTGACAGACATATTCATTAAAATTATTCTCAACTGTTTGAAACTAACATAGTGATAGTATCTATATTGTTATTTAAATTTATTTCATGAATTTTTTGTTTCTTTATTTTTAGATGGTGACAAAGTTGCAACATTACGACATATATTTAGTGACGCTTGCTATTTTCTTATCAAAAGTAGTAATGAAGAAAATGTATCATTAGCAAAAGCAAAGGTAATTTTCATGAGAAAACTGCTTGTGGTCGGGTACGAACGTTTCCGCAAAAGGAAAATGAGTGGTGTTGTTAGTGACGAGTGCAGAAAAGCATTTCTGTGAATTAAGATAAGACTTTATTTACGAGGATTAAAACATCATTTCGATAAATTAGCTAAACAACTTTGTAAACAGGACAAACAGAATTAGAATTTGATAATTTTGTCTAAGTATTACTATAGCTTTTATTACTTTTTAATGTCAAAGGGTGTATGGTCAACTCCACCAGCCAATGAAGCTAAATTAAATCGTGCATTCAAAGTAAGCGTGTAGTGTAATTCTGCTTGAAATATATTATCTCTCCCTGGTTTACAGGAACATCGTAATGTGATATTAATCTATAGTGTGGCTGAGAGTAAAGCATTTCAAGGCTTCGCTCGTATGTCGTGTGAAGCGAGGCATGATAGTCAACCAATTAATTGGGTGTTACCACCTGGTATGAGTAATAGAGCTTTCTCGGGAATCATTCGAATTGATTGGGTGACAAGGTACGTAGAACTTGGCTCTCTTTATGGTTGTATCATGGAGATTCATTTTCTTTTTATTATTAAGACGAAGTTTACCATTTGGTAAAACGTCACATCTGTATAATTCATGGAATGATAATAAACCAGTTAAAATTGGAAGGGATGGTCAGGTACTGAGTATTTCATGAAAAGTTTGTATTTTCGTTAAAAAATAACAACTAACTAATTTTATTTTTACTATCAGGTTTTCATTCAAAATAATTATATAAGGCGTTTGTCATGTGATATAATGATATTACTATTCACTTATCTATTTTAGGAAATTGAACCACGTTGTGCTGAATCATTATGTCGTCTATTCCCATCTGATCCAAATATTGATATATTAGGTATAGCTCTAAAAGCGAAGAGAAATAAGAAAACAGGTTCTAAATCTAAATCACGTACACCTCCACAATCAAAATTGACCACAACAACAATCACAATAATAAATGATTTGTCCACATCCTCATCGTTTTCAACATCTCCAAAAGCTAATGCTAGTACAATAATCACCAGTCCAATTACACCTCAAAAATCTTCGTCATCTCGTCGAAAATCGTTAAATTCTCCAGAACGAACAAAATCTCCTAGTCCTCCATCATCATCATTAACTCGCAAAACATCGTCGACATCAATTAAAAATAGTTCGCGAACCAGTAATAATAATAACCATCATCATTCATTAACGCGGCGTCCGTTAGGTGGTGCTACAACAATTTATTCACATGATAATAATAATAATAATAATAATAATAATAATAATAGCAATCATCGACGTCCAGATCATATTAAAAAAGACTATCGTCCACATTCACCACCAAACAATAGTTATCAACAACGTCAACATTATCCGACAACAACATCAACTGGTGCTCGTAGGTCAGACAAGACTGTATTTGTTATTATTATTGTTGCTACTACTAATAATAATCGAGAGAGAACTATCACTACCACTCTTTTTGATTTTTTTTGAAAAAAACCATATTACCATTTATATTATTAACAACCGGTCAATCTACCTATTCATTTATTGTTGTGTCAAATTTAGCACAGCACACAGTATGTGTATTATTATTCCTGTTGCACATATAGCGAAAAAGAACTGTTATTGGAAAGATATCAAATAAGTCTTGAAAAATAAGAACTCTATAAGAATAATATGAACATATCGTTCTCTATACGCGACTAAAGACGATATAATCTATTCACAGACATATACAAGCAGATTAGAAAAGTTTTATTTATTTTACAGTTTGCTCCAATGGTGATTCATACCGAGTTAGATTCGATATAGAGATCTTTTGTTAGAAATCTTGTTTAGGTACTTTCGTTGGGATCATCATGACTACAATAGGCAGCCTAGTAAAAAATCAGTATATTGCCACGAACTAATAAGCATTAGAAGTGTGAAACGATACAGTTTATCACTGTTTAGCCGCTAAGTTTCCAGTAAATGATCGTATTAGGTGATAAAATTTTAAAGTGTGTCCTTCACTTTATTCTGAAGTAGACCATCTGAAGTAGCTTGTGTCTGCTTCAGTCTGCTTGTGTTTCATAATGTTTGATAAGAAAAAGATGAAGCCATGTATCGGATGGAATAATGATAATCTCTTTATTAATTCATTACATTTGATGTTATAATTCAACATCAGTCATAACAACAAAAAAATCTATAGACATACCTTCTTATCGTATGAACTCTTCATCATAATAAGAACAGACAATAGAACGTATCTATTGAGAAATGTGTGGACGCGTTTAACAAGTGGTATTTCACGTTTGGAGTGATAAATGATCCTTTTGTCTTAGAACTAACTACAGAACAGTTTTGTTTTCCAAAGAAGCTCACATCAGTTAAGCATTATCGTTAAAATATTACGTGAAATAGGTAGGTTGCAATAGAAAGAAGTCTGCTTGAATATTACTTTACAATCTTACGCTATGCATGTTTGATATGAGTTGTGTCTAATGCACGTTGAGAAGATATTGGTACACTTACATTTGAGAGATATCGTCACTGAAATAAAATTTTATCGAAGTAGTTTTTACAGATTTTTTTGTTTATCTATGTAATAAAAAATATAGAACTATTTTTTGCTTATCATTGTTGTTTAGACGTTTGTTTTCTTCTGGAAAAATCAAACTGAAACTTTATTGGACATAATATGAATCGTTTTTTCTCATTTATACTCAATTTAGACGTCCATCTTCAAGAAGTCGTGAACGTACAAAAGAAGACATACAAAGAAAACGTCGTCATCGTTCATGTATGTATTGATTATGACTAGAATATTTGATTTACACGTAATAAAACTAGAATTTTTTTAATATTATTATAAATTTAAACTAATACTGAACTATTTCTCAACATTTTTACAATTATCCACGCTATCCTTCGTATAGACTTTTATGAAATTAGCAGCATGAAATTTTAATATCAAGACAGGCATCTCATCTAGAAGAAATAGTATTGTTTCAGAAATAAATACTAGAGTATTTGTCGTATGTATTTTCTTTCGCAGATGAATAATATTTTTGATTTTTATTCTAATAGCGTCTATTCGTTCGCCTGATCCATCAAATCGCAAACATGTTCAACGTAGTCCACATTCACATCCTTGTCTGGATCAAACATCATCGTCACACGGTAGTGTCAACAAAACAATGTCAAAAATATTTATCAATGGCGTATGTTAAATCTCTCATATTCTTTTCATTTGATTTTTTTATAATGTCTACTTTTTTTGTTTCGTTTTCAAGACATATGAAGATTATATGAAACATTTTAATGTTTTAACAACACATCCACAGTATCCAGGAATGCCATCCGCTATGTTTCCACCGACGGTGAGTTGTTTTTTCTAACGAATTTTCAGATCACTTCACTAATTCACCAAACTTTCCTTAATTGAATGGTAAAGTTATTATTAGTATGCTATGATCGTACTAAAAGGATCCTGTATTTTAAAACTGCCGAATATATACATGTTGAACAGAAACCAAAACGGATCGGGGTTGAATTTGGATCAAACATCCGTGATTTCTGATACCTCAAATATTCGTTTAATAAATATCAATTTATAATCAATATTTTTCGATAAGTTATTTGTGCAAAAACTCTATATTTAGGCTTATCCAATGGCATACGATCCAATTGGTTATGTCAGTCAAACAAGTTTAAATCATTTAACCTATGATCATCGTAGCCAAACGCTTCCTCTCTCACATCCCTCACAGATGAACTCATTTATGAATCAAGCAGCAGCTGCACAGGCAACAGCACAATATCTTCAGCAACAACCAAGACCTAATTTATTAGTGAGTTAGTCATATATCTAGCATCATATTAAGATTTAGTCTATTCTTTGTATGTGTTTGATTTTGAACCTCGGAAAGAATGAATTGTTGTTGACATAATTGAATCTAACTAAATTTAATGTTTAATTTCTAGTATGAACAAGAGATTGCAGAATTTTTACGACAAACGTCCCATTATCGTTCAAAAGATGGTAACAGTAACAGTGGTAGTCATAAACGTCATCATAGTAGTCGTGAAAAACGTCCAAGAAAATCACGATCACCTCGACGACGTTAATATATACTGTAAATTTATTCTATTCTTATTTATAATTCAAATCTTTTTAAATAGAGAACAAACAAATCAATTTTTGTGTGCCGTCTTTTTTTCGTATTCAAAATTTTTTTTTTACAAACTGAAAGAGAGACAGAAATCAAAACAAAACAAAAATTGTTGTGTATTGCTTTTTCTCTACTTAAGCATAAAAGATATAAAAACGAATTTTTTTTCTTTGTGTGTTTGTGTGTGTGTGTCTCACTGTTTGTTTTCTTTTTTCTACATTCCTTTCTCTTACTTTATTGTGCTATTTACTAGCGTGTCTTTTTTATGCAAATGTGTAAAAAGAATTAAAGTTGTTTTGTATTGTTTTTTTCATCATTCCTTCTCTTGCTGAATATTTGTGTCATCTAAAAGTGTGAGCGATTAAGAGAAACTTCAGCAATTATAAACAGAAAAAAATACTAGTTCGTTAATTAAAAATTTAACATAACTAGCAACTTGTACCTTATTCTTTTTTTGAATTTGTTTTATTCTGAAACAGTTCCGTGTAAAAATAAGTTGTTGCACAACTCGAGGCTTTTTTTGCCTTGATTATTGAGCTATAGAATTTACTTGACGTGGATTCTAATCTATCCAATTTCTTCTTTCTAGTTTAATAAAAGGAAAAATCTGTGAAAAAGTTCATTCTTGCATGTAGTAGTATACGTTAAAGTTTTAAGTTTTCTTTTCTCTCATTCGTCAAAGTGAACAAAGCTACGATTGTCCGTTTTTTCTTATGCTCTTTTTTTTGTCATGTTTTTTTATTATAAATCTACTTTAAAATGAATTATTTCTTTTTCTACTATTGCGTGGAATGCACGTACGTTCCTTGTGCACATTTCTTTCTCGTTTTTTTTTTTGTTCTTACTGTTGTTCGTATTCGCAAAGCAGATCTTGTTACTCTAAATTTATATGATGATGATGATGATATAGCTGTTTTGTTTTTCTGTTTCTTTTCAGTTGTTTTTTCTGTGATATACAAAAAGTAAGAAGAAAACTAAATAAAGACTGCACAGGTAAATAGTTTCGGTGGAATATTCATGAACACAAATTTAGCAAAGAAGAACCCCGTGCACGAATCCTTACATGAATTCATGCACTTTATTTGAAAATCTGAAATGGATAGAATGTTTACAGCAAAATTATATTGATTCATTGGTAAACCGACTAGTGTAAAATTTTAGAAACGGTATTGAAAAACCGCTAAACCGGCGGGAAAAAAGTTTAAAAAACGAAAAAAATTGGTGGAAAGTTGAGGCGTTGTAGAACCGTTAGGCGCTCTCTGTGCGAACAAGCATTGATCCTCTTCGGCGCGTCCTATATTAAAGAGGTTCTAGCTTTTTCTCAGTTTTCCTTGCCGGAATCGATTATTATTTAGTAGAATAGTACGTTAACAAAAAGCATGGTCATTTTAAATCGATACGTTTTTCAGTTGTCAATAAGTAAAAGAAAGAGCGTCATCTTATATTTACTTTTCAGGAAAAAGCTACATTAAAAATACGTAAAAAGATAATTTTTTATAGGGTTGAAATACTGGCTTATAAGAGCCGGTATAATAAGTATACCAATATCGGATTAGACCGATATGTCGGTTCGGTTCCAACTCCAAAATGACTAACAAGGCACAATCTGCATGTTTAAAGTAAGACTCGAGAGTAATTACCATTGGAAAATATGAACCAATATTCATGAATCTACATTGAGTTTATCTATTCAAAAACTTTTGAAAAATTGTTCATCAGATTTTAACATAATGAAAATTGAAAATGTTTCTATCTATTCGACAATTTTCTGCAGAAAAAATGAATAAGAAGTTCGAAAAAGATAATATATAGATGCTAAAGAAATGTCATGTTAAAAGTGCTCAATGTTTTTGTTGCAGTACATTTTGGGCTTCTTCTAGTTGTACATGTTTTAGTGGTGATTTTGATACACTAGTCGAGTGTGGTTTCTGCTGTTGTTGTTGATTTAATTTTAACAATGTTTTTGTATTATCTAATACAACCGATTTTAATCCGGGTTGTTGTTCCGTTCGAGATAATTCTGTTGTTACATCCATTTCTGCTGGACAGCTTAAACTTAACAAGTTTGTATGTGCTTGTGAGCGTTTTAATTTAATGGTTGCTAGTGCTAACAAACCACCAATAACACCTACTCCTGCTACCCCTAGGAGAACCATTATCAAATGAGAATTGGTTGCACCACTAGATTCATCACGTTTATCTCGTGATGATACGAGACCTGTATTTATGTCATAGTCATAGTTTTTGTATGGTAAACTATTTGTAACAAGAGTTGCAGGTAAATTAAAAAGAAAGATGAAGTTTTCAAAAATGAATAACATGTTTATATAGAAGAGGTGACGATTTAAATGTTTTTTGTTTGGTTTTTCAACTGAAATATCCAATAAAATAGCCAAATAAGTCTTTTAACAAAGATTCTTTTATAAATACAAATGAGGTGAAATGAGGAATAAGAATCAACATTCGTAGTTACCATATGGAAAAGCGCGTTGGTCATTAAAAACAACTCATCTTTTGAAGAAACAACCTTATGACTGTTATTTGTAAAAATTTGAGTGAGTAGAAAAGATGGATATGCAAAACATCAATTATCATTAGCAATTTCAAAGTTTGGGAAAATACTGAATTGTTCTTGATGAGTTTGTCCACTTCAAATAAGAATAAGTGAAAGCAGATAGGCGAGTAGAATAACAAGAAAATAATTATATTTTTGTTTTCATAGTTCATGTATATGTATTCTAGCTTTTGAGATGATAACAACATTTTATAATGCACGTCCACATGTGTCACTCATGTTTCAAATTAGTTCTGATATGCTTAGTAACTGATGCAAAGTATTTAATGAACTTCACTGAATATAGCAATTAAATTTTGCAATCAAATGCCAAAAAGGTTTGAGAAATGGTCACGCTCCACTGGTAATCAAGATTGGTTCATTGAGCTGTTTTTCTGCTCAAGTTTTTTCCTAATAATTCCGAAGTATGAACGTATTTTAAATTCGACATAGTTTTAATTTTTTTTGTGATCGGGAATATGACTAAAAACGTTACCTTCAATGGATGCTAATTATTTCAAATCTTAGCGATCGTACCAATCATAGTAATAGTTATTTCTAGACATCTACCGAAAAGCGAGTTTTACGAAGATTTGATTTTGATTTTTCAAGCTGTTTTTATCTAATATTAAAAAATTCACTATTCACTCAGTAAACATTAGAACGACTTCA